CACTCACGTATAAACACAAACTAATTAAGTTGGTGTAGCTTCACATTTGGAGGACTCCTTCAACTATGGACCAACAATTAGTGCTGACTACTTTTAACCCAAATTTAAATCGTATATAGTGATCACTAATTATCAGTGTTAATTACGTATATGGTATTCACTTTGTAATTTTCAAAGTGTAACAATTTTAAACATGCTTTATCAGAACAATAGCCTTCAAAGTATATTGGTGCTAAAATTCTATCGCGTTTTTATAAATAAGAAAAAGTATTGGTGCTGGTTTTCATGGCATGTCACGTTCAGGTGAAAATGTGTTTGATTGGAATAACACTATTTTGATATAGGTGAACAAGGCACCGCCTTTATTATAAAGAAATACAATAGCCACATTTCGTGTGAGTTATTTCTACTCAAAAATGGACGTACGTACTCTTTTACTTGTTAACTTGTTCATCGAACAGAAATTCAAGTGTTTTGTCTTCCTTTGTGAGCTGTAGCTTTCAGTAGCAAGCAATTGACTTTATTGAAGGATCTCGAAGATCTAATTGGAACCCTTGTTTATGGTTCAATGATGACATTTTTGTCTGAACTGTAATCAACATTGTCCACGTAAATGGAAATTCAAAAGCTGCAAGATATTAATTATAATCCAATGTGCAATAGCACTAGAAACAACAATCGTCAGTTAGGGTTTAGGGTTATTAATTAATTAATAATTATAATATAACTCAAAAAATGATTATGTATATATATAAAAAAGATGAGCTGTTGCGCCGGGAAGGAAGGAAGATTAAAATAAGTACACCAAAACTTGGATTTATCCGAAATTGGGAAGGTATACTTTATCCAGCGGCCCCCATGTGTGCTTTTGAAGGCATGAAGAGAGATGTCAAATCGATCCACGAAGGCTTCCAGATGCAATATATTTTATTTATGAATGACCAATAAGAACTCACGATTCATGGAAAGAGCCGGCAGTAATCACGTGATAAACGTGATTGGATTAAATTAACTCTTGTCTTAAGCTACTCATCAAGCTGCTAATTAACAATAGTTATTTTCTCATCGCTCTACTTAACGTTATGTATAATTGATATGTATCTTCCATTTCTTTTTTGTTTTACGCCTCTGTCGTCCAGTCAAGTTTAGCTTTTTCATCAATCACTTTGCTTTCATTGAGGTAACATGTTTTGAAAAGATATCCTCTACTTTTGAAATACAAGGTTGGAAGATATAAAGAATTGGTGGGGTTTGTTGAATTTTGGAGGGTGGGGGGGTTCTGGTCTTTCACATAAGAGAATGGGACCGGGTTGTATTTGGCATGGCATCGGATTGAAAACGAAGTTCACGACTGAAGAAAAACTTTTATTTTCACAACTAAAATGTCCCTACAAGGTCAAGTTTCTCTCTAGATAATGGAAGGCGAAATTGGACTTCGAATGTACGGGTCATTGCTCTAATTTTTTTTAGCACTATTCATGCTCTCTAAGTATATATCCTAAGAGTGTTCAAATATGAATTGAATCATAAGTATAGGGGCATCACTTCTCTCCTTGCAGTATAATTTTATATATACTGTTTATTTATATCCGAAATTATGCTGGAAATTAGTTAGTTTTACATGCTGTATATAAATTTTACAGGCTAAAAGCTATCCCTCTTCATAGAACTATCACGTGGTTATAAGAAAGTTTTGTTAATTTTTTTTGGTGGGAGAGAGTGCACTGGTAAGGACGACAATGTCTCCATTATAATATGGTATAACTATATGGACTTTCAATGAAACTCCTATCAACTATGGCGAAAAAATAGGATCAGATCTGACAACTGAGAGAGCCAAGTTTTTATCTAATAATGGTTGATATAATACACATTATATATATATGTATATATGTATCTCACTCGTATATGATTTAGTGTCATACGTATACGAAGACCATACGCTTAGCGAATTCAAACGTGCATTCAAATTTCAGGGGATTTGCAAATAATATGTAATCATGCTGCTTATAGATTTGTTTAGTTTAATTACCCCGCTAAGTATAAGGCTCGAAGTAGTCTTCGGATCTCTTTAAATAGTCAGCAATATCTAACCACTTTTAATAATGAAATGATAAGTGCACTGGCAACGGTGTCTAGCTAGCTGCTGCTGCTGCTGCTTGGTAAGGTGTTGAAATGAGGAACATGCATGGACTTTAAAAGGTCAATGCCGATAGATGGATCATCAAAACATATGGGTGGCAATGGGTTGGCTTTGGGTAATCATAAGATTTCAACTTCTTTTTTTCTTTCTGTTTCATTCTAATCAATGATATGTAGTTATAAATTACAATTCTATGATCTCAAAAATTTGTGCCACTTGGTACATTGGATTTGATAACAAACAGTACCTAAGGTATTGGAGCACCAAATAATTAAAAAAGACCCTAGTGGGAGGGAATCTGCAATGGATCTACTTATAAATTATAGTCAGTGTTCTTGGGGATCTCGTAATCCATAGTGTCCCTCAAAAACCGATCAAAATCCTATTTTTGCCGGATACAAGATATTTGATCATGGATTAATAACCCCCTCCCCCTCGTTACCTCTATACAGTTTCTGTTAATTAAGGAATGTGCAGGTTGTTATAATATGTATGAGAAACCAAGGTTTAGGCTAAAATGAGGTTAGGTTAAAGGTTCGATTCTTTCAATGTGAGTGAGGAAATGAATTAGAATTAGGTTATAGTTAACTATCCATGATAAAATATGATAAAAGCTTTTCGCTTTCCATTACACCTCTCATAACAGGGTTGTACGATTGTTATAATTTGAATACAATTTATGTTAAAACTTAGGAAAATTGAAAATTTGTTTAGTCATTTGATTATTCCTTTTTTGTTCTAGTTTTGTCTAACGAATGTGTTTTTATTATTATAAACTTTTAGATGATCAAACAATTTCATATCTTGATTATTTTTTTGTAGGATGATCCTTGAAGGGAGATCTAAAATATAGACGGTTTTGATTATTGAAATTGCATTGTGTGGTAGCCCCTAAAAAGGATGTTTGCAATTTTTTTCTTATAAAAAATTAAGGACGTCGACATCTTTATTAATATTGAAAAAATTGGTTTTGTCTATGGTTTTGCTTGAAAGTGTTCTAAGAGCAGAAATGGTTTTTAAAGCTTTTGATTTCTAAAATCTGCATCTATTTTTGCATCTGATATTAGTCTTGTATTTCATTCCTACACATAGTTTCAGGCTAAGATTCCATATCGATTTCTTCAAAATGATGGTATCCTGAAGAGAATGATTCTTATTTTCGAATCCAAATTAATACTGTTTGTGCAAATAATCTCGCGGGAGAATATTCGCTTTGTGATTCTTCAACCTTTGATTTTCCTTCTCCTTCTTCCTCAATTTCTGTTGGTCAAAGACTCTCTGATGCCTAAGTTAGTTCGATTGAATCTAGGTGAAACAATAGCTAAAAAAGTGTACAGAGATTTCTCTAGGATGAGAACCAAGTGACCGGAACCGTGTATGTAATATATGAAGAGAGGAGAGATGAGTGGCCGGTGGTAGTGGTGGCATCATAGTACATTATAAGTCACATAATTTGTTGTTGTTGTCTATTAGCTAGGCAATGGACTATTATAAAGCCCCATATAATAAGGGCTTGTTTACTTACATGGAAAAGGAATGAGAGGAATGAGAGGAATGAGAGTCATTCCTATTTCTGACCACTCCTTTGTTTACTTGCATGTTGAAAATTAAAAGTGATGCGGGGAGGTGGTATTGGGCAGAGATGAATCGGAATGGACATTTTTCTACCCAAATTGCCCTCATATATTTTGTGAGAACACAAAAAAAAAAGAAAAAAAAAGTTGATGACATTTTCTTTGAACATAAATATATTTAACTTAATTCTATATATTTAGATATACTAGGAAGTAATAATTAAAATTATAAAATATGATTATTTTTACATATATTAAATTGAATTTATTATTACTATCTAAAAAGTTGGTTTTTTTTGTTGTTGTAAAAATAAAGGTTTATTATTAGATTAGAGAACTTTTGTTTTGAATTTTTTATTATATTAGAAAAGTTGTGTAAGTAGTTGAACAATTTGAATTTGTTTTGTAAGGGAATTTTGGTAATTAAATTGGTTTTGATTCCGATTCTTAACAACAGTAAATGATTTTAATGAGAATGTGTTTTGTTTTCATTCCGATTCCTGACAGTTAGTAAAAACCTTTATTGGAATACTTAACTCCGATTCCTAAGGTTGATTCTTAGGAAGAAAAGTTGGAGAAATTCTTCTAGAAAGGTGTTGTAATTCTTTAAAAATTTGTTTGCTACTTTGTGAAAGATTAGATGAAATCTACATCTATCTTTCTCTTTGAAGAAGGTGCACTCTCTCTACTCATTATTAATGTTAACACAGATCTCTTCCTTTCCTCTCAAAATAGTTCATAGCATTGGTAGAATTTTGATTCTGGGCATAAACGACACGTGGATTTGTTTTGGTTTTGGTTTTTAGAGGCCATCAAAGCCTTTGGCATGGTGAGAAGGTGGGAATATCTTAGGGTAAGAGATGGGTTGGCAGGTGGGAGATGGTGGCTTATATCAGAGAAGCCCTAAACTTGCTCAAGCTAAAAGAGTAAAGGGGTTACAGAGAAGGGAGACGAAGAAGAAGGGAGAAGAAAGGAAGAGGGGGGAGGGAAAAAAAGGGAGAGAAAAAGGGGCTTTTCCTTCTCATGGATATATTTTCATTTATTATAAGTGTATATTACTATTAAGATTATAAAAAAAATTGTAAATGTATTTAAATTTCTTGTATTTTTGCATATTTTTATTTAATTACACCTTTTTTTTGGTGATTATACACAATCACATCACTTTTACAAGTTTACCAAATGCTATGACATTGCTTTTTATACTCATGACATTTTTACAAATATAGATTACTAAACATGTAACTGTTTTATTTTACAGTTGATTGTTTATTCTCGCAGCACAACAGAAACAAATTTTTTTTTAAAAGCACATCAATACCAAACTAGCGCTTAAAAATTAAGAAGAGATTTCATTTGAAAAATGAAAACTCAAAAAACTTAGTAATGTCTGGCCGTGGGGTTCCTTGTGATAACAGCAGGTGGGTAAATTCAACGTGGTACCAATAAGTCAACCACGCAAAAATAAGAACAAAAAACCCTCCAGCGAATACACATATAGAAAACCCTCATGAGAAACAAAGATTTAGCAATGGGCCCAATGGTGGATGGTCCCAAAAATGGAGAGAGCACAGGCATTGGATTTGTCTCGGAAAGGTTGGGAAAAAGAGTAGGTAGAAAAAAAAGGTGGAGAAAGGGGAATTTTTAGCTAATTGGAAAAACAGAATCCTCAGACTATGAAAATGCCCCATGACCTGTCACATGAACTTCAGCAGAGCCACTCGCAAGTTTCTTGCTAGATCCTTCACTGACATATTGAATTGATCCTCCATCTGCAAGACAAATATGCAAACAATTTACTAAATCATTGATGTTAACTTCAAATTACTTTTTTTTATAAAAATGTAATTGTTAGCTTCGCTCATACTGGGTACCAATCTAACCATATTGAATTCATATTAATTTGTTTGATATGACCAAATTTTGATCATGTATGTTGTATCAATATTGCATCGACAATATATCAGGTACTGTATATTGGTACACAGCATCGAATACTCTTTTCTCAGTGTTTGTGACAAAAAAATAAATAAAAATCTTTTCTCAGTGCTATACATGAGTGAAAGGTAGTATACCTGAGCAATAATTGTGATATCTAGAGCGGAATTCCCAAATGGCAAGATACTGCTATTAACCACAGACAGTTGAAGCTTTTCAACTTCGCTTAGTATTTTCACCACAAAGCCTTTCTGTTTCTCACAGTGAATTCGAATCAAAACATCCGTTTCTGAAACTTTTGCTTCAATTTCTGGGAGTGAAGCTTCGTCAGAGTGGCCATCAAAGCTTTCATCGCAGGAAGAGGTGCCATCATCAGCAGAGAGTTGAGACTTCTTCACGAAAACCACGGATTCCACGGTTCTCTTCTTGGTTTGTTCCTCAAGCACTTTCACCCTGTCTTGAAGCTGTTTCACATGCTTGATAGCATCTCCAAGAACAGAAGCTTTGTCCATCTATAGCCAAGAAATTGAAACATCTAAATTAGTAAACATACAGACTCTTCGGAGTCCATTTTTTCTCGCGAGATGTAACTACGAATATAGACCACACATTCAAACAAGAATTTTCGCTATTAATATGAAATGGGGTTTGATGAACTTCATTGAGAAAAATGTAGTACCTTCTTTAGGCCAGGAACAATGGCAGAAAGAGCTATGAATCTCTCGCTGAGCTTTTCTCTCCGCTTTCTCTCAGCCATTATGTGTTCTTGAGCGTGTGAAGGTGTTCTAGTTATTGAATATGGCCTCTTAGTCCCCTGGCTGCAGTCTTTAATGGAAGACTTGGAAATTAAAGGTGAAAACTGCATATTTATTTGGGATGGAGCCTCATCCTTCGGCTTCAAGGTAGAGTCAAAATTATTACAGAAGTGCTGAGGCTTGGAAGATGGTGAACTCGAGCTCTCGAACGAAAGAATCTGGGAGGAAGAAGAGGAGGGTTTTGGTGAAACATGTTCTGTGATGCCAGAGTTCCAGTTACTAGTCTTGAGCTGTTTAGCTGGCCTCTCAAAGCTGGTCTGAGAAGTCTTATTAATGGATGAACCACCACTTAATGTGGTGGTGGTGGTGGTGGTGGTTTTGGTATTTTGGGCAGTCAAAGTTGGGTAAGATGAATAGCTTTCAGAAGATAAAGATTGCTTGAAATTCTCCCCAAGTGCAGTGGCAATGTCCTGTGCAGTAAACCCTTCATCAAGAGCGTTCAAGTCGCATTGAGGAATGAAATTGTAATCATCGATTCCCTGAAAATTAATTGTAACAAAAAAATATTAACAAAAAAAAAAAGAAAAAAAGGAAAATTGTTCCAAGACAATTAACAACTCAGAACATTACCAATTCAGAGAACCATTTGGCTGATGATATGTCCATATTAATGTGGCTGAGAGCTCCTCTAGTTAGTCAAAGATATGGACAATATGATCCTAGAAAGATTAAGAAAACCAAAAAGTCAAAACAAAATTTGGAAGAACGGAACTTAAGGAGCTCTATGGAGTTCACAAGAAGAGAGATATGGAAGCTTACCCTTCTCCTTCCTTGAGTTGGAGAAAGTGATATCCTTGAGCACTTTTATACCAGTTGTACGTCAATTATATTTTCCTATACCTCATGTGAATAAGGCTGGCTTCTCTCTCACGAGTCGTTGACGTGAGGTGAAATCATGGATGGGGCATTAAAAATTTGACAACTTGATGTGGAAATTGATACCGTATCTACAGGAATTATAAAACTAAACTTCGTAATTTGTATGGTTGTCTTTCCCAACGCCCATCAATTTTTTTTGAACTATTTATGGATCCAGATTTAATCTTCTTGTTGTTTCTGTAAAAATTCTAGCAATTTTCATCTCCGTTTTGTCTTCTCTTGATGGGTTGTTGTCTTCTCTTGATGGGTTGTTGTTGGGTTGCTGTTTGTTTTGGAATTTGCCCAACCCAAAAAGGTACAATAAAAACAAGAATTATTTGGCATGAGAATTTCCTCACCGTCCAGAGTAATTATAAAATCTCCAACAATTGATGGCAGAGCGGATTACTGATTGCCTCTATTGAAAGTTTTTTTTTTCTCGTTATTGCCTTCCATTTTTGTCGGAGATAGAGAATCATGTAAAGCTTAAAATGTTAAAAGATGACAGCAAATTGAGCTGAGAATGTTGAATGTTGGAATTTGAAGATAGATAAGCATCAGATGATCTGAATAAAGTGAGTCACTGATGTATTGGATATACATGAGAATTAGAGCAACTATTTCTTATTGGATTTGGTGTCGTGTTATGTTCTTAATCATGTTACCCAACCCCACCATGCTAAACTAAAAACAAATGCTAAATTACTGGCTAATATCAAACCACCTTAATTACCCAAAAAAGGTTTAACAATGTACAGAAAGAGCTCCCAACAAAATCCACAGGTTGCCTCAATGAAACTCCTTCCTACCATGTGAGGCCCAGCCTTCCAATCCAATTTCCACGTCCCAGCCACATGAGCTCACAGCTAAAAAACCTTAAAACATATATATATATATATACAGTCCCATTCTATTGAGGGATCCCTCAAATAATTTTATTTGAGGGACGCCCTTTAGGGTACCCTACAATTTTTTTTCCAATGATCAAAACCATCTATTTTTTAGGTCTTCATTCATAGATCATCCTTACAAAAAATTAGACAAATCGAAAACCATTTCGACATCTAATTGGGTCCTACAAAATCAATGAACACGGTGCTTCAAGAAAGTACTAAAATTTTCAATAACTCAATTGAATGGTCAAATGATATCGGATTCAAATGATTTTTTGTAGAGATGATCTTTGAATGTGTATCTACAAAATAGACGGTTTGGATTAGTGAAATACAATCCGGAGTGGGCCCTACAAGGGGTGTCCCTCAAATAAGCTTATTTGAGGGATCCCTCAATGGAAGCATATAAGAAAAAACATGTAGATTGTGCAGTACTAGTCTAAATCAAGGGTATTGTTGGGATTGTCTTTTGCATGATTGGAAATGCTTTTTGAGAATTAAAAACGCTTCTGAAAATATGTGGCAAGAAAAATTTGAAAGTGTTGCTCAGTCGTAAAAAGGCTTTGTGAGGAAGCAAAAACAAGTGGTAGCAGTTACAATGAAGCAATCTAAAAACCTTGGGTGTTTATTTATAAGAGATATTTAGTTATATACCGATTCTTAGCACTAGTGATATAGATAAACCTTACACTATTTAATTTCTAAACAAATCAAAAAATAATCTAAAAAATGATAGTTGGCCCTATTGAATTTAATTTTAATTATTAAATAACTTTGATACCCTATTGAGTGTTTTGAGTTTTTTTTATGAGGTTTTAGGGTTGTGCTTATTATAGAAAGTTCAAAGGCTCTTTGTTATTTTATAAATGGGCTTTGGGTGCGTTTCTAAAGTCTATTTCATGTAAGGTTTTTTTTTTAATTATAATTTGAACCTCTATATTAGGTATAATAGTAAATCTCCCTTATTTAAATGGGGTTATAAGCCCGAAATTGTCATATCTTTTTGGTTTGTTTCTAACTCCATCCGTCACGTTCACTTCAGTTTCCTCACTCTAAAGCCAAGTTGGAGTATCAAAATAGTTGTTGTGATATTAACCTCACGTTTAAATTGATGAAAGAAATTAAATAATTCAAGATGACAAATCGTAATAAAAGAAAACACATAACGTGGTTCTTTGACAAAACTATGTCTATCAATCAAATCCCAATACTAATAAATGATAATCAAATCCGAGTACTAATAAATGATAATCAAATAGAATTTATTTTGCATATGGTTATGTGCTTGGTTTGTGAAGATTCAGAGAGGTGGGCATAGGTCACTACTAACAACACCAATATTGTCCCAAATTTAATCACTTACAAAGCCCTGTAAATGTGAGGTTTTATCACAAAATGCCTCGCTGATATTAGTAGTGGAACCATTCATTATATGTTGTATTTTATTTAGTCAAGTTTATGATGTGTGACTTATATTCTTCAGCATGCCCCCTCACGTGGGACCAACACATAATGGGCCACACGTAGGGCTAAGTCCACATCGGAGTCAATTATTTAAGCTCAATATGTGAACACCACGTATTGGGTAAGAGGTAGAGGTAAACATTCAAGTCCAACATGTGAATACCACGTATTGGGTAAGAAGTAGATGTAAACATTCAAGTCCAACATGTGAACACCACATATTGGTTTAGGGTTTAGGCCCAATTCTGGCCCAGTTAATCAACCCGCTCTGATACTATGTTAAGATTCAGAGAGACGAGCATGGGCCACTACTAACAACACCGATATTGTCCCCAACTTAACCACCTACAAAGCTTAGTAGGTGTGAGGTTTTATCACAAAAGGATTTAGTGATATTAATAGCGGAATCATTCATTATATCTTGTATTTTATTTAATCAAGTTTCTAATGTGGGACTTATATTCTTCATTATGGTTTACAGATGCCTGTGCATGCTCTCTTTCTCTTATCTGTGGTTAATTTACTTTTTCCTTGGTTGGAACTTGGAATAAACGATCACTTGACCGTGCACTACAAGTTAATTATCTTATCTCTAGTCATCAAGTCCAAGAAAATGGCAAAAACATGGGGAAACCCGTGAGAAAGGTTTCTTTGTTAATCTGAGAGCTTGAATTTCGTAAACTGACCGCTAATTTATTTTCTTTCTGTTTCTGATGATTTTGTTATGATGATATAACCAACAGACTAAACCTAACAGTCATAATGAAATGGTGAAAATTGGACACTGCTTTCTTCCCTTTTAATTTTTAATTTTATTTTTATACAAACGATATTAGAGGAGGATTATTCAAACACATAACTTCAGGTATGACTGCTTTTAATCACTTGAGCTATAAGTTCTTTGCACTTTCTCCCCTTTTTTGGAAGACAATAATACTACACTTATTACCTCAATGTTCAGCCTACAAAAGATTACTTCTCTTTCGTTTCGCATAAAAGTTCATAAAAGTTTGGATTGAATGCACTCCGATTTTGTAAGCTCCTCTAAAATTCTGATTGAATATTCCTGAATTTTTAAATATTTTTTTATTATAAATTTATTATCAAAGTATGAAAAATAACTTTTAAACTCCTTTAAAATTCCATTAAAATATCAATCGAATACACCCATATTTCTACTCGCACACACATCACATCGTTTCCGCATACAAATTCCTCCTTAGACGGGATCGCATTTGCAGGGATCCCCGTTTAATGCAACAATAATCTTAGTCCATGATATTTTGGCTTTAATTTTCTGCAATCAATTATGCTTATCTTGACGGTCAAACCAACTCACAAAAACAACAATGAAAGGTCCCATACACATTGGTGGCTAGAATCTTAATAAAAACAAACACAAGAGGACAAACTATGAAGGATGAAAGCACAAAGCAGGTGGTCCTTTGATATGCTTGCACAAATCAAAGGTTAGTGCTGATTAATATAATATAAATTATAGCTCAATTTTAACATGTGCAGACAACATATGCAATTGTTTAATTCAGCTTGATGCCAAGGGTTTCCCCATTCCATTGACAAAGCTCATGGAAATTAGAAACATGATCCATCTAATCTAAACAACATTAATTAAGATTGTGTTCAGATCCGTATCTTTTATTATTATTTATAATTTATAATTATAGATTAAAACGTTGTTAATGGCTCTAATCCCCACGAAGGGGTCAGCAATGTTGCTCCAAGGCCAAGTCCAATGTTGTTGTATGTTCACGTTGAAGAATTCCTAGGGCTACCCTGGCAAATCCAATAAAGAAATCTAGGACATCAAAGCAAGTACTAGTACTGATTTGTCGTCTTCTGGGTGCCTCGCGAGTATATTTTGCATTACATTATTTCTGGTGACCAACATGTTTTGTTAGGGTTCCCCCACCACCCAGCTTTGCTGCGAGTTGCTGTTGTTGGGTTACTAGGGCATCCACAATTATTCCACCCATACCATACTCCTATCCTATGTTAAGTTTCTATTGACCCTCCGATGATTTTAATCAACGGCAAGGCGAGAGAGAGAAATTTGAACTTAAAATCTCTTCGACTATTGGACTTGGAACTTACTATACTTCTATAATTTCGTTCTTGCCAGCAATATTGCATTTCATAAGGACACACACGCATGCACACATATACCGCACATTATATATATATATATATATATATTATTGCGGAAGGGAATATCCGATCGATGATCCAAAAAGCTGTGATTGAGAAATTTGAGCTTTACAGTCAATTGCCATTATTATCCCGTGGCTATTGTCTGTTTTTTTTTTTTCGTGCTCCTTGGATCATATTTTTTTTTTTGTCGTGCTCCTTGGATCCATATTTATATTGGAGTGTTATGGCCCAGTGAATTTGCAGGACATAGAGATCATGAATCAAATGCCTTCATCTACTTCATGTATAATGAGTCACTCACATGGATTAAGCATGTGCACAACATCAATTAGTGTACCATATATATATATATATATATCAATTAGTGTACGTACCATATATTTATCAAAATATTGCAAGTGTGATATCATCCCAAGTTCCTTGTTATTGTATGATTCATGAGCAGTACTTCAGCGAATTAGATTGGTGGACAACTTGTTGAGAGGATATAGTGTGGCTAGGGTTTCAGATATATCTATATATATAAAGTAAAAGGTAGAGAATGGTAAAACATTCAAAATACCAGAAAATATGTCCTCGGTTAATGCAAACATTAAGAATTGAAATTATTAATTAAATGAGGATAATATGGTAAATTCACACTTTTTCATATTAAAATTAAATAAATTAAAAGAAAAAAAAATAGATAATGGATCTTATTTTTATGGAACATAACTACCCATTATCTTTTTTAATTCTAAAATAAATTAAAAAATTTAAATTAAAAAAAAAAAAAAAAACTCTCACAGGCTCAGAAGCGCGTGTGGAGAGGCTAGTACTACTGAAATGAAAATTTCAGATGGCAGACAATCCAAATAATCTAAAGTGATCAACCATATTGTTATTCTACTATATCAAGCCTCTAGCTAGGTTATTAGCTCATTGTTTTGTGGTAAAAAGCAACCAAGTTTTCTGAATCTTCCATTTCCAATTGTATATGTTGTCCCAAAAAAAATTATGATGCTGCCTATTTCATTGCAAGGTTCAACTTTTCTAAGAACTTTTGGTAACAAGGATGAATGCAGAACCATCTATATACTTGAACCAAACTCCATCCTGCTTCAAATAGCTTGGCTAGAAAAGAAATACCATCTCTAAAGCCCAAGTAACAACCAGGCCTTCTTGATCTGAAATGCGATTACTTCAAAAAACAAAAAGAGGTTGGTAAATAAACAAGTCAAAGGGTTTACCTAAGAGTAGTGTCAATTGTTATTAACCATTAAGAGTTATCGGGTCTTAGAATAGACTCAAATGCGTAGTTAGTTTTCTCAAAATCTCCTGTTATTTGTACTGGTCTGATCGCGTTGTACTGTTCGTCTCAAGCCTCACGTCTGGAGATGAAACCCTAAAGAGCAAATAAATTAGACCATTGAAGATGATGGAGAAATTGCCAGAGTTTGGAGACAAGTTCTCAAACCTGCATTGAAAAACAGAGGCTAACCAGACCCATCAAGGAGGTTCATACCACTCTTTCACCTCGAGGGTTTTTAAGTTTCTACACACCCAAAGACAAAAGGAGTCTGCACAAACATTGATCTCTATTTACCATATTCATCTACCATTTCTACTTCACTTCACAATTTCTCACTGCCTAGAAAACCATTCGTCAAGAAAACACAGCATCCATGCTCACAAGAAAGCAGAGAGAGGTTACAAAAATGGCCTCTATAATAATTAGGAGAACTGAGTTTAAACTGAAATCTAAGAAGCAAAGTTATATGATACAACAAAAATACAAAGAGATAATTACTAAACAAAGTTAGAAGGTAAGAGTCTTGCAGCAATGGCTTGGGCATAGGACAAAACGCGCTTTGTAATACAAGAAATCAATCTACCTCCTCAAGTCAAGATCTTTGAGCCACAGATGCAATCATTTACAACACAGAGAAAATGAATCAGTTCTCCTGGGTCCAGATCTTCACCGTCTTGTCATTCCCAAGTGCACCGGATGCAATTATGTTCTTAGTGGGGTGGCACGATACTGATATAACAGTGTCCGTGTGACCTTCCAATTTCTGAACTATCTTCCTGCTTTGCAATTCCCATAGGTATAGACAATTATCTTCAGAACCACTTACAATGTATTTCCCATTTGTCACAGAAAAGGTGGAAGAAATGCAGAATCTCGAGCTCTTGTGACCTGTGTAAGTCTTTAGACATTTCCCAGTTGAAAAGTTCCAAAGCCTCTACAGAAACAACAGAGAAATTCTAGATGAGCTGTATACCATAACAATGAAAAGAAACCACTGCAGACAGGAGAAACATAATCTCATAAAATCAAAGAAATACACTGCTTGTGTGCTAAGGTTCTTGTTCTTTATTCTCTGTATTCTTAAAATAAAATGGGGAGAGAGAGAGAGAGAGAGAGAGAGAGAAGAGAGGGGTGGGAGACACAAGAGATATCCGAGGTAAGAGAAAGGGGAATAAGTAAGTTGTGTTTTGAGATAGTTTTAGAATACCAAATGAGCTAGTAATAAAAGTTTCAGCTTATCACATTTCTTTTAACATAGTCGATTTTTACTATTGTGCTGGTATGCACATAACATCGTAACCAAATGATAAACCTGCTTGTTTTCCTTAAAATCATGCATGTAGAAAATATCAAAATAATTTCAATATGGTACCAGGAGAAAACAAAAAGGAAGGTAAATTCAGAATAGGTACCGAAGCATGCCAAAAATCTAGGAAATAAAGATAGAATATATCTAGAGCATGCTACAGTATGTACCTATATGCCCTAAAAGCAGGGAAAATTCTTAGTTTTCCGAATGCAAATTTATTGAACCCACAATTTAATTTCAAGTGCACCATGCCACCGTCAGGAGAAGGAGACAGAAAACAGTAAAATTTGATCTACACATACTGCATCACATGGCATAGTTAAAAATCCTGAATGAAAATTTGAATATCAGAATGAGATTCTGTTCTAATAAACCTATATGATAACGGAAGTATTGTGTCAAATGTGGCATCAAATATCAGCCTCACCTAGAGACTCAATTCAAAAATTGCGTAATCATTTTTCCTCTACTTTTATATTTCAGAGCCAATTATCAGGAATTTTGATTATAGGTAAGGTAAACAACCTAACTCAACCTAACTCAAAAAGGTTGAAACTTGAGTAAGAACATGTACGGATGGAACTTGGATGCAATATTTTGTTACGAGCCCTTTCCAACAACAGTTTTTCAATCCCCACTTACAGAGTTCAAGAGTAACAGATACCCACAATCTGGACAAGAGTTCTAAATGAAGCTAATCAAAATAACTGATAAAATATGCAGTTACTCAGCTTTTACCTTCCCCCTGAAGCTAAATCCTAAAACTTATATTTATTCCTTTTGGCTTTCACCCACCAATGAATTTTTAAGTGCTCAATTTTATAAGTTGAAGTGAGCATTCATATCGCAATCAAACAAACAATGCCATTCAAATTCAACCCAATAAACATAAAGAAGAAGAATGGCGAATTGGGCTTACCAAAGTATCATCCAAAGTGCCAACAAGAATGTACTTGCCATTGGGCGCGAACTTAACAAAGGAAACTGGGGGGTTCTCATCATCAATCAAAGTCTTAGTGCAGTGACCAGTAGAGGCATCCCAGGTCCTGCACAACCCATCATAGCTACTAGACACAATAATGGAGCCATCCCGATTGAAATCGACGGCGGTGACGGGGTCGGAGTGAGCCGGCAAAACCTTCAAGCACTTCCCGGTCTTAACATCCCAAATGCGCACCGTTTCGTCGAAGGAACCCGAGACGATCATATTGGACTGGGGATTGAAGTTGGCGCAGAAGACGTAGTTGGTGTGGCCATGGAGGGTCTTGATGACCTGGCCGGTGGCGACGTCCCAGAGGCGGAGGGTCTTGTCGTCGGAGGCGGAGACCATGAAGCGAGAGTCGGCAGAGAAGGCGAGATCGGAGACGCCCTGCGAATGGCCCTCGAAGGTTTGGGCGGCGGAGATGGTGGGAGTGGAGGACGAAGAGTCATCGGAGAAGGTGAGGGAGTAGGTGCGGATGGTCTTATCGGCGGAGGAGGAGCCGAGGAGGCGGCCGTCGGAGGAGAATTTAACGCCGGAAATGGCGCTCTTGTGGCCCGTTAGGGTTTCGCAGAGGGTGTAGGGTTTGTAGGACTCCGATGGATCCTTGGACATTGTCGGCCTCCTGTTTGATTTGTTTTGGGAGACTAATTTTTGGGGTGATGGGTTTTCCAGGGTTTTAGGGATTTTAAGAGAATTTGTGAGCTTCCCGCAGTAACTACAATTTACAAATGAATGAACGTGGTAAAATCAACGGTATATGTGAGAATATTGAGTTGAACGTAAAGTAAAAGAGACAATATTTAACGAGAGGCTACAACTTTAGTATTTACAATCTCATTGGCTCATTGATTTTTCTCTCTACTCTCTCCTCTCACTCTTTCTCTTTCTTTCTTCTTTATTGGGGCTTTCTTTCTTTCTCACTTGTGTGCTCTCATTCTTTTTTCTGGAGAGATACATTCTCTGTTGATTGAGGTGTCTATTTATAGGCCAAAATATTGGGTGTTCACTCACAAGCCTTTGGCTTCACTTGAATGTTTGGCAGACAAGTATTATCATTTTTCTTCAATCAATTAGGTAGTGGGCTCTATCATTTTGGGTTCCATTCTTGACTTCACAACACTCCTTCTTGGAGAACACAAATAATATGTTAGTTGCCTCATTAAAATCTTGCTTGGAGAAAACCCAATGATGTAGAAAACTCGTGGAAGGAAGAAGAGTACAACAATCAGTATAACATACTTCTGAATGCTCCCCCTAATATCTTCATGACTATCTTTCTAGAGGGAAGATCTTTCAGACTGAGTGAGGGATGTAGCCATCAACAATCCATGTAGTTGAGTAAGTAAATATATTTTCAGTGAATTATCTCTATGTAAATCATAGAAAATTCCAGAGTCCACGTATCCAACAAAACTTGGGCTATTTATAAGTTCACTTGAAAAGAATATGCCCTTATATGGTGTTATGCAGTGATAGCATCAAATATGCCTCACATCATCTCACAGTGGTGGTGATGGAGTTGAGCTTTATTTGGAAAATACAATGTCTGGTCCAGTATACTTCTGAAAAATCATTTAAGTGCCCAATGGATAATCCACATAAAAATGCTTCAATACTTTCTTAGTATAAGCAAGAATCTCGTTGGCATAATGCTTGATCTTCAGGCCGAGACAAATATTTCTTTAACTCTTCAGGAGTTTTAACCAAGTATTAACTCTTTAGGAGTTTTGATCAATTATCAAATCTTCAAGAGTTTTGATCAATTATCAATCTTCAGGAGTTGTAATGTATTGTAACCATATCATAATAAATATACTCACTGAGGCAATTTATACATATTAGTATTGAGTACAAGATTTGTGCTTCAAGCACATGTCCAGGGACTTGCTTCATGCAATTTCAATCCTTCAAGGATTTTATTTAAGGGATTACACTTTATGACACATTATATAGCTTTATATCCAGCTATTTGTTCTGCTTGTACATCTTTAGGGATTCGCTTATGGCGATATGCTCCGTGCATTTAATAACCCTTAAAGATAACATATTGGTCCTCATAAATGTGCAATACGAAGGCATGATTGCATCTGTAAATCTGGAGAACCCCAACGTTCCTTGTTTCTATTAGAAACATTGTGTCATATAAAGTGAGTATGTTCCTCTTTATTTCGAACACCCAAATATAACCTTCAGGGTTAACATCTTTTGGGGTTCGTACTATGGGTTTGTTCTTTCACGTTCATTCTCTTCTATAATGGAATTGCCTATTTCCATTTTTGCCAATGATTTTGTCAACATTTAATAATAGAACGTGGTTCCAATCACAGCCCATTGATGATTTGAGTAGCTACTCCAAAACCAAAAATTGTCATTCATCAATTCGTGATCCAACTATTCTTATGCGCATGCGTATGCATCAATTATAACATTTCATTGCCTTTGGGTACCCAAGCCACTTCAGGAGCTTTTATTGTTTCTTTTTAGACAGACATCTTTTATAAGATGAATTATGTGAGAATGTGGATCATAACCTCCAATGGAGAGTTATTTTACAGTAGGGCGTGGATAATCTCCATTCAGGGAGTTGGAACATTTAGAACCCCTATATCTGTCATGCTGCAGACATGCCACAGATTAATACACACATGTCAATTAATTGTACTTCTGGGACTTTAAACCATATAATTTGATATGCATTAGGCATGCACTGTATTAATATTGACATGTTAATGGATTGTCCTTCCGAGACTTCAATCCATATCATTTGTTATGTAACAGGCGTGCATCATATTGATCACTGCTATAACCATGTTAAGTTTTTATGGGACTTTAATCTATGCATTGTATTATTAATGTATCAAACTTGCAATCGGTGAAATTTGCATTAATAATTTATGAATACATATTAGAATGTGTTAAGGCCCAAAAATCCAGGGTTGGGCCCAAATAAATTCTCGGCCTAACGTAATGCCTTATTAAGAAAAAGACCCGGTTCAGAGCATGCGAAATTCATCATGCACGCTTGGACGAGCCACGACCACGTGTCATGCCAAATAAATATGCAATCTCTCATGCTAAGAGTTGAAATAAGCACTGGCTTTACAAGCCCATGTTAGTTATCTCGTCAAGCATCATAATAATGAAAAACATGCCAAGCGGGAAATTATTATTTCACACCCAACCACGCTATAAGCCTAAGTGGGCCCAAGCTACTCAAATGCTCGAGGCTTGCTTGAGTGGGTTGTGGTATGGATGGTAACGAGCTTTCGTGGGGCCCATTGATGAGCCAAGAAATGGAAGTTTTGGGCTACTTGGGAGCTCCAAAACTCAAGCCCATTTCTTGAGCCCAAACACATGGGTTAGCATAAGAGAAGGGAGAAAATGATCCAATGCCTTAGGAGGATATCTAATAGTCTGCCATAGCACTTAGACAAAGCCAGCATCAATAGAATGCCCAAAATCAACAAAGCCTTTTACAGCAGTTTGACGAAAACCCACGCATGCTGGAAATAATAGGCTAACAATCCAATATTGCACACGAGCCTAGCCTAACGACTCGTAGAAAAGCTGGTGCTGTGCTTCATCCTTGTTAGGACTCCAAGATGGTCAAATAGGAAGCCATGACAGAGACCAACAGAAATCCATGAGTGTAGGAAGAATACCCATCGGACAAAAGCTCTACCCATCTTATTTTCCATTACCAGCTTCACTTGGAAAACCAATGAGGAAAGCAAGCGGCGCCTCACCCTCATGGGGAGGTCCAGCTACATCAAACTCTTGGAACCACAAAGGGTTCCTTACCCATGCACCTTGGATAGGAGAATTTTACCAAATTAGATCAAGTAGAAAGAAATGATGAAAATGGGAAGGAAAAGTTAGACGAAATTAGTGTTCTTCAAGCCTATAAAAGAGAGCTTCTTCTACCCAGAAAATCATCATTCAGAGTGCGACCAAGTTTTGTCAAGCAACTGGAAATTCACTCAAACCACATCTAGAGAGCAAGCTTCCTCTCTTACTTCCAAAACTCTGCAATTTCGTGCCCTATTCCTCCAGCTCCTTCCCTTTTCTCTTCTGTGAAAACATTCCAGAGCTTGACAGACTATTTGTCAAGCTGCTGGAAACTACTCAACACACCCATTATACCATCATCTCTCTCCCTCTTTAACAAACCCTCTTAGGATCCATTCCCTTTTTCCTTAGAGTCCCTGTCTTTCATAAGAACTCACAGCTTTCTCTCTCTGTTTATGCTAAACTCATGATGGTTTTGCTCTCATGCCACAAGCCCCTCATACCAAGCTCAAAAGTTTATCTGTAAGCATGCAAAAATTACCTGTAAGTTTCCATTGTTTTGGCTGGTGAAGGTAACCAAAATACTTCCTAAGACACTTTCTAAGGCTCTGCTGCCCTTTCGAAGTATTTTTGGGGCTTAATTTTCAAACTCAGACACAGGGAATATTTTCTTCAGTTTGCTTCTTACGGCGGCCTAGCCCATTTGTAGCTACCAGAAGAAAAAGACCCCTACAGAATGATACAAGCCATTCTTCTGGAATGGTTTTTGTATTAATAATTCATGAATACATATCAGAATGATACATGCCATTATTCTAGAATGGTCATTTGTATGGCGTTCTTTTAGAATGACCTTATCTCCCCATTTGGTTACCTTTAAGGATGTCATACAAAATATCAAAATAAGAGTACAAGCATGAAATAATACAAGTATTTCTTACATCTTTAGGTGGGAGAAACTTTGCTCAAATATCGTTCAAGCTCGTATTGGCTTAGCAAATATAATGTAACGCTTGATGATCTAGTTATATCATGCAAGAGCAAAAATCACAATTCTTTTGTCTCTGTCAAAAAAATAACCCTCAATGTTAAGTTCACTACAGGGATTTGTTCTTCAGATGATGGCTCTAAAGAAACAAAATCCCTTATTAATAGAGAGTTATAAAAGGAAAGAAAAGATACAAACAATTGTGATATTGATTGCAAGGTAAGTAAGCAATCAAGGAAGAAAACTAGTGAGGTTGCAGACAACGAACTCTTATTTCTCCTAGCCTAGGAGAACTTTAGGAGATTAGAGCATGTGGTCGTCCTTATAGTCCCCTGATCTAGTCGACACGTGTTCAGGGATAGTCTTGCTTTCTGAATGGATAATTAGAGATAGTTTAGCTTCTCAAGCACATCGAGCACTCACTTATAGGAAATACAAGTGGACATTTCATCACTAGATATGGATAAAACTGGAGAAAGCTGTATGTATTTTGCAAAGAAAATTTTGTTAGTAACATATTTATACACAAATTAGAGGAACAGTTTGATCAGGTGAATCTACATAAATTTGTGAGGTTCTCGAGATGCTTTTGAAAAGCGACTTCGTGAAATCTGTAAAAGCAAGCTCGGTTTTGATAAAAATAGTCCTTGAAACCCTTAAAGTGCTGACAGACATTAATGAAGGCCGTGTGAAGTTTTGAAATCTGAAAAAGACAAAGAGAATATGGGGATCTGAGAACATATTGGGATCCTGGAAATGTTGCCACATTTATGTCTATAGATATTGCATTTGTAAGGCTTGATTAGAGTAACTGCGTTTTAACCTAACTTCATTCCATTTTCTGAAAATTTAGCTTTTCTAAGACGTTCCTCGAAACCTTTTTAAAATGACTCCCTCTTCTCCATTCAGGGAGTCGTATAATTAAATGTTGCTCTTAAAACAACTTGTGACTCCAAAGTCTGGCATCCATCTTTTGTATCCCAAAATCATCATCTCAAGGTTAATGACTCTGTGATGATGAATGATACGACTGCAATCATAGTAGTGTTTGCCCGTTTTGCGTTTACTCCTGTGATGGAATGGCAAAGTTCCCCACTGCCTTGAGAACCATAGACTGGTCAACAAGTCAGCTTTCTTTGGTGTGCGAGCGTGCCACTGCTAGTAATAAAA